AACTATTTGTTCTGTAAGCCTTCACCTGAAGCACAATTAAAAAAAAAAAAAACTATTAATTCTCCTTGAGATAAATGAGGATGATGTATTTTCAAGTATGGGAGTAATTACCATTAATATTTTTCAAAAAATGTATTTTTAAAGTTCTGAATTTATTAACAGAGAATGTGTATATGATCTTGGACAAGTTATTTAACCTTGTCTAATCTAGTTTTTCTTATTTAGAAAATGGGATTACCAGCACCTTGCTCTTGCTGTTACTGCTGCTAGTAATGACTGTTACTGTTTTAGTTTTTAAAAGAAGGTATATTTTGAACATAGGTAAATCAACTGTTGTAACTCATTGCCCATGGCTTATTCACAAAAATCAAATATTCCACCCCAGTTCCTTTTTTTCCCTCCCTTCTCAATAATCTGTGATCCAATGTTTCAAGGCAATAAAATCTTATTACCTACACTAATTATTTTCCTCCTCAAAATTAGCACACAAAATTATATCTCAAAATTTGTCTTACTTTTCTGGCATAATGAAATGTAGCAAAGACCATAGCTCTTTGAGGGAGTTTTGTAGAGGAGTTCCAGTGATAAGGAGACGATGATTGGACTTAAAATCTATTAAAGTTTTATACAGAAGAGAATCATCATTCTTTAATCGATGTGCTTCATCCACACCTATAAATGCCCAATTCAGACCTCCAAGGAATGCCTTAAAATGAAGAAAACATAGTTAATATTCTGAGAGAAGAACAGCCTTCCCTTTGGGCTGAACACAAATTATTCTAAAATGAAGCAACTCAAAATTAAAAATAAACTTATGCCTAATTTTCAAATTAAAAAATTATGTATCATTTCAAGATTTATTGGAATCCTCAACTCAAGATGCAAAATAAAGTTCCTAGAAAATAGAGCATCGTATCAAATTAAAGTTTTTAATAAATTTTCATTGATAATAAAGGGAAAAAAATAGTATTTAAAATTTTTAAAAAAGAAATGTAGCCTAAGTCCAGCAGAGCCCTCTATTAATGTCAATTTGGGGAAAACATATTGGGAACAGAATCTTACTCCAAGCGTAGGTATAATCTACTGTAATCCTTTTATGGGCTTTCATAGTGTCTATATTATAAGGATAGCGAGACTTCGTCTCACGTACTTTGGACATGTTATCAAGACGGATCAGTCCCTGGAGAAGGACATCATGCTTGGTAAAGTAGAGGGTCAGAGAAAAAGAGGAAGACCCTCAATGAGATGGAAAGACACAGTGGCTGCAACAGTGGACTCAAGCATAGCAAAGATTGTGAGGATGGCGCAGGACCAGGCAGTGTTTCGTTCTGTCGTACACAGGGTCACTATGAGTCAGAATTGACTCGCCGGCAACAGGTTTGGTTTGGTTTTTATATATAAACTTGGATCTCTAACATAAAATAGACAGGCCTGTTTTAATAGTTATGTAACCTTAAGGCAAGTTCACTAACCTGTTTGAGTCTTGATTTTTCTTTTCAATAAAGTAGGGATAGCAAATATCTTACAAAGTTAATGGAAAATTAAATGAGACAATAGCTATAAAGCATTTAGCAGTGTTTCACACAGTGCTAGCTTAACTGTTAGGCATGTCCCTGCTCTTTAATGAGCACACGTTTTAATGAATTCAGTAGAAAATTCATTAAAAATTATACTAACACTAACATTTAAGTCAGGAGTTATCACACTTCTTCCGTAAAGGGCCAGATGGTAAATATTTCAGGCTTTCCAGGCCAATACAGGGTCTCTGTCACATATTCTTCAGTTTGTTTATATAACCATTTAAAAATGTAAAAACTATTCTTAGCTCAAGGACCATAAAAAATAGACTGGGTTTGGCCTACAGGCTATAGTTGTGGGTCCTTAATTTAAATTTTCCTCTCATCCTGTCTACAACATACGATAAAAGAAAAACTGATATATACCAAACAAAAAAAAAACAGGTAATACATACCTTATCTTTCAATAAAATTTCATAAGTTGTTAACAGTATATTAAATTTTAACCGTTTAGTCTGGAGATGCATCCATTCATGTGTTCTTATCTATCAAGAAATTTTAAGACAAACATTAAAGCAAATTATATTTTTATTTGAATATCTAAAATAAAATTAAAATCCATTCAACATACACATATACCTTATATAGGTTATGTAATAGAACAGTTAACTCTACATAGTCTAACATGCTATGTGGATCTTACTGAACATAAAATATAAACACTAAAGCCTATCAAAACTTTCTATAAATAATATTTAACACACTTTTAATATACACTTTTCAATGAAGAAAAGTTCTTTTTTAACAATACACAAGTGATAATTCATTTACTAACATGAAATTTATGGAAGAAATATGATGTCAGGGATTTGCTTCACAGTTAAGTGGGAGGGGGTTATTGTGTCGAAGTACAGATGAAACAAAACTGGCCACGGGTTATAAATTGTGATGCTGGAGGATGGGTATATGAGGGTTTATATCATACACTTCTGTCTGTTTCCATGTATATCAGATATTTTCCATTAAAAAGCTAAAATACATATATGAAAAATAACACTAAACCAAATACTGATTTTTATTATAGCCAGTTAAACATGCAGTTAAGTCTGCACTTACTTTGTGGCACGTATTATGGTAGAGACTGAGATTATTAAAGACAAATAAGATAAAATATCTGTGCAAATACAGCTAGATTTCTAAATTTGTAAGCAAGCAACTTACCATATTTCTGCTGTTAATGTCACCTAAATAAACCACAGCATTCATCTCAGATGCCCATGTCTGAATCTCCCTTTGCCAGGAAGTGAGAGTAGAGAGTGGAACTACTAACAGAAAAGGTCCATATAACTGATGTTCATGAAACAAATAGTTCAGAAATGAGATTGTCTGTATTGTTTTTCCAAGGCCCATTTCATCAGCAAGTATGCAACTATTTCCCCTATAGAGTTAAAAAAAAAAAAAAAATTATGTATGCAATAAAGATTCAAATTTACAAAGAAACCCTTTTACATAAAATATGTACAAGTGTATATAAACATTTCAATAGAATTAATCTGATTGGTATTATACATGATATGCCATAATTATTACTATAAATAATAAACGTAAAGACCGCTGGCTAAAGAGCTATTAAATAAATCACCAACGGTTTAGGAAAAATATGGTGAGTTCACCATTTTAAGCCATAAGGGATTTAAATATCAACAGGAACATCTTTAATCAATTATAATGCTGAGAATAAAATCCATCTATTAGTGTTAAAAGTCCCAATATATTAAATAAGTAAAAAGTATGTGCAGATGAAAAAGAAAGAAGATAGGTTAAAAAAAAAAAAAAAAAA